CTCTGGGGCTCTGTCAGGTGCAAGCCTCTGACATGAGGAACCCGACTCACATCCAGCAAGCGTTGAAAGTCTCCACCACCCACACGGGCGTTATTGCTTCAGGGACATTGAATATGGGTATCATTTTGTTTAGTCTCATGGAAGTTCATTATCCGAAGCAAAGCTTCTTTTGTCGAGGATCGTTGCTCGAGAGTCGCGTAGGCGGCCGACCGCGCTTCTTCTCTCCACTGGGTTTAGTCTTCTTCAACTCTGGGGTCGCCGACCTCGACCCTGTTGCTGGAGGGGCATCCTCTTGCACTGCTTCAAGGATCGTCTGCCTCGATAAACACAGATCAATGTGCTCATTGAACTGTCTCTCGTCCGGCGCTTGCGGACGGTTACAAATTGGACAGTCCCACAAGTCCTCCTCGACCGGCGCGTCTTCTTTAGTGGGATTCGGTGCAATCTCTTTGCCATGTCTACGCACGGGGGTCGACTCGTTGTCCGTTACTCGCGCGTCCGACTCCTCGGGGCCTTCTCCCTGCAAGGCGAGATCGTCGTCGAGCCGCAATAGTTCCTCCTCCGGCCACATTTCCCATCCATCTTCGTCCAGCCTAACAGTGCTTCCTGTATTCCCAATAGCGCCCTGCTTCTCTGGGGATCCGGCCGACTCTGACTTGCGGGACCGGAAACCAAAGAATGCCATGGTGTCGGGCTTCTTGGTGCTCACGAGGTGCGTGCACCGCAAACCCATGAGTCGTAGCTTCATCTCCGGCATCTCCTCTTCGAGTTTGCCGAGAATGGGCAGAGCAAAACGGTAGAGATCGTCGGCCAGACAGATAGCCCTTGGCAAAACGACTTGTCGTGTGAAGACCTCGTACGTGTGCAGCTTGACCTTCAGCACCAACGTCCGGCCTTTGCACTCCGCCCTCTTCATGTCCTTTTCCAGCTCATCAGCCGTCCACCTCAACTTCTCTCTCAGCTGCTGAGGGTCCGACATGTCCCGAAATGTGCTCTCTGTGCCGACGCTCTTTCTCTCGTATTCTTCTGCTGGCTGTATCCGTGTGCGCCCGAGACCAAGGTAGACGTTGATGAGGAACTCGTACGCTTTCTCTCCGAATAGTTGCCTGAGAAACTGTCGGTATGGGTAGATGTCGGCACAAGTCTTAATGCCAATCTCGGCCAGCTGTCGCTCCAGAACGCGCCCAATCCCATTGACCTTTCGTGGTGGGAGTTTCGCCATGAAGTTCATGATCTCGGTCCGATCGTTGGGCAACACGAACTGCCCGTTAGGCTTGTTCATGTTGGAGCAGATCTTCGCAAGCTTCGCATTGGCAGCGATGCCAGCCGAAACCGTAATATTTGTCCTTTCATATACCTCGCGACGCATCTGCTGGACTGCATCTGCGGGGCTAATGCCTTTCTCCGTGCAATATTCGGTGATATTGAGGTACGCTTCGTCGATACTGGCGCTCTCAAACCGGGGGTCGTATTCCACCAAGACCGCCCGAACCTCGTGTGCCTTGGCATTGTATTTCTCGAAATTAGGCTTGAGCATTACCAAGCTCGGACAAAGCTTCTTAGCGACAAAGCCAGCCATGCCGCTCCGGCAGCCGTATTTCCTTGCCACATAATTACAGGTTGTTAAGACGCCGGCGCCAACGGAAAACGGCACATCCTTCAACTCGGGTCGCTCGAGAAGTTCGACGGCAGCGTAAAAGGCATCGCAGTCGACATGGACAATGTATTGGGAGAGGTCGCGGGAGAGTTCGAGTTGGGTAATAAGCTGGTCGGCGAGGCGCAGGTCTCTGCTGAGGTCAAGCTTCTCCAGGCGGCGCTTCTTCTCGATGATGTGTTCGATCTTTTTGGTAAGTATTTTGTCTCGTTCCTCTTCTCGGTTGAAGAATTTTGATCCCTTCGAGGCGTTGTAGATGATTTCGGAAACCTAGCACACAGCACAGTCAGCATGCGTTTCAGAGCCGAGGATAACCATGTGCACCACCAACCTTGGACTGATCGACTGAGTCTTGCCCAGCCTTTGTCAGTGAAGGGCCCAATAATGAATACTTAAGCGTTCCGTGTTCTGAAAGGGCCTTGGCATCTTGTAGCAGGGCCGCAGCCTCCAGCAGTGCTTCGTCGGACTGCTCAGCGAGCGGCGAATCTGGTGGTTGTGGTGTCGTCATCGTCATTGATCCGAAGAAACCGACCGGAAGATGCGAACGGAGATTCTAGACTGAAGTAATAATTGCATATCTTCGTTCGCTATTCGAGGCCTGTAGGGGTAGGGAACAATGCGTCGAGGATGGGAATGCCTGGAGGCAACAAGGATCAGTGTCACGGACTACTGACAGAATGCCCCGCCCAAAGTCATCGACGCGTCGCATGTCAGCAAACACACACGAGCCCACGTGACATCAGCGATTGTCTTAAACAGTATTGCATTGAGGCATGTCACTTCATTAAACATTATGCACCTATACCATACGCCTTTTTGGACCCGCATCGCCGTTTCCGCTTCTGGCAGTAAACAAACACCGTCATCTTGGCTTTCATCTCTTGGAATTCCTCTGCTCAATCGAGCTTCGTCAAGCTCTAGCACGAAAAGCTCTCGGGCTTTGACTGGTCGCCTTCCCCATTGTAATTTTGCGTCGCAGGCCACGGGCAGATCGGACGTTGCCGCAGCACTTCAGTTGAAGGATCCGTTGAGTTGGTCCACGTCGTCGCGATGATCGACTCCGGAGCAGTGTCCGCAGCGGCCCATGCGACAAGCGCCGCAAGGGCATCCGTCGACGCATTGTTGAAGCCAGCAATCGTTGCCGTCTCGCCATCGACAAGCTGCTCCCACTGGCCGGGACCACCGATGTACCATGGCGCGTCGACGCTGGTGGTCTTGGATCCTAGGCCCGGGACGAGGAACAAGCGGAACCAGCTGCGCGTGGCCTCGACGTCACCGCCCGTGGCGTTGACAACACTCTCGTAGAAGTAGATGGAGGCGTTGAGGGGGTTGACACCGTCAGCCAGTCCGTGGTACATGATGATCTTGTGGCCGAGGGCAGCGAACGCGGTCAGGTTGAAGTCGTTGACGTCCAGCTCGCCGGGATTGGTCTCGTTGGCGTACGCCGGGACAGAGTCGTTGTAGCTTGACACATCCCACTCGGGGTCGCTGTAGAGGAAGTTCTGGAAGTATCCCAGGGCCTCCTCGTTGACGTCGGTGTCGTTGTCGCCGACGACGGAAGTCCACTCGTACTCAGACGACGGGCTCAGACCGGTGAAGACCTGCTCATCATCGACCTCGTAGTTGTCGTACAGGACCTTGGCGAGGTCGACCTGCTCCTCAGTCAAGCACGCAGACGCATCGACGCCGTCCTTGCCGCAGGTGAAGAGGTCGAAGTCGAAGTAGCATGTGGCGAGGTCGCTGACGATGCCATCCTCAACTCCGTCCGCAGCGTCACACTGCTTTTTTACATTGTCGCCGAGGACCTTGAGGCTCTCCTCAGTGAGGATCTTGGTGTCGTTGACGCCGTTCTTAGAGCCGCGAGAGATCCTCCAGCTCTGCAGAGCAGTCTGCCACCACGCCGGTGCGCCGACGAGGATAGCATTGAAGTCCCTCGGGTAGTGCTGTGCGGCCTTCAATCCCTGGCGACCGCCCTGTCCAGCGCCGGCGAAGTATGACTTTCCGGGGGGGAGTGTGTAATACCGCTCAATGACTCTTAGGGCCAGCTGGTACGAGCCGTGGAGAGCGCGGAAGCCAAAGTCCAGCTGCCTGTCCTCATCATTAAGGGCCCAGGTGAGGTTGCTTGCAGTAGAGTTATGTCCTCCGTCAGTCGAGACGGTTACGAAGCCGTACTTGACGCCAGCTGCCATGGCAGGCCAGTTGACGCCGCCGTCGAAGCCTTCATTGCCGACGGTCAAGATGTCGCTGTTCCAGTCGTCCGGGAGGAAAAGACCGAACTTGTACGTCGCGTTCCCGTCTCCGGTTTTGGCGACGAAGGTCACGGCACAGAGACTCGGCAGGTTGGTTACATTGACGGGATACGCGACGTCGCTGATCTCCTCAAAGGCACCTCCTGCGTCAACAGATGTAACCTCGCCGAGGGAGGCGTTGGCGTTGATCCAGTAGCTCATCAGCCTCGGCGTGCATGACGTCGAGTTCGTGGCGGCCACTTGCCGCAGTGCGGCGACTGTGAGTGTGAGAGATGCGATCCACTTCATCTTGATGAAAGTTTCTGAGCCGTGGCCTGCGGAGATGAGGTGTGATTGAGATGGGAGAAAGCTGGAGAGACCCCAGACGTCTTTAACAGACGCATCACAAGCTTTAAACAAGCTGATATTGTGTTGTTTTCCAGAATCATATTTGTTGAGATTATCTCATTTCGGCGCATAACGATGCACATGCTTCCCCAAGTCGCGATTGTGTTTACAAAACACATCCGTTTCCGGCGCATGTTGTTTGGAGATCTTGGCATCCGTTTGAACGGTGTTTGCCATCATTCCTCCCCCACCAATGGGGTCGCGGCTGCATGAGACACCAGCCTTCCATGCGAAGTCAAGCCCAACACCTCCTTCTGAAATGTCAGACATCATGATATGTTTGCGGCGTTCTTGGCAACAGCTTTGACTCGTTGCCGTGGTATCCGATTTTGTGTATCGTGACATTGCGCTAGTATGTGGACATGGAGAAAACAGGCATGGAGCCCAAGTGTATCGATCACGGGAGATGGTCCTCGCATCATCGGGACGGACCTATTTTAGGATAAGTGGAAGTCGGTCACTACAAGTCTACTTTCATCCGGCGACCAGCTTTACGGGTTCAATAGACGGAATTTGATAGATAAATAAGAAATATGACCGACGTATGCCCTCACCAATTAACAACAAGACGAAGATACAGCAATAAAAGGGACAACACAAACACGACCAAATCAGGAGAAAGACAAAACGGATAGAACAACATGGAAGAACCCCAGAATCGGTTGACCAAGCGTGGACGGTGCGACAAGTGTCAGTTCTACCGCCCGCCATCAACGTGATCTGCAACGTCCCTCCTCCAGGTGGCGCCTGTAATTGTCTTGCCGGGTGTACACCTCACCGCACACAGTACACTCCACACTCTCGTCCGGCACACCGAGACTGTCGGCTTCGTTTCGATGATGGACACGTATGTGTCGTTTCAAGTCCTTGTTGTCGGAGAAGGCCGTCTTGAACCTGGGCGATTCACCAGCGCCCTCTGGGCAGATTTGACATCTGTAAGGCAGTGTATGCTTCTTCTCATGTTTGCTTCAAGTCCACGTTAGAAAAATCACAATAGCTGTTTCAACGGGCTCAGTAGGTTTACTTCAGCTTGTGTCCTTGGTCAAATTTCTTCCCGCAACCCTCCACTGGACAAGCATACGGTCGCTTGGGGTCATGTTGCGAAACACCCCCGGTGTTGTCCTCATTCATTACTCGTTGAGCATGCATGTCTGCGTCTCTTTCGTCCCACGTAGGCCAAACCTGTGATTGTCCTTGGTTATGATGGGAACTGGTCCCATGCAACGATCCACCCCCGGAATCCTACTGTTCCAGCGGTGCGGTTTCGGCGTAGTAGGAAGAGTTGTCGTACTGGTAGTTCGCAGTGGTTGAGTATCCGAAGGAATCACCATAATCGTAATAATGCTCGTAGTTATAGTCGGATTCTTGTTGTCCTTGCCCACCCCCTGGATCATCCGAACTAGCGTAATTGTATTGCTGGTAGGATGACGACCCCTGATGCATGTTGTATGTTGGGCGGGCTAGTCGGAGGTGAGATGCAGGTCGCCGGCACGGCCAGTTTGGATAGGGTCAAGGTATCTTGTGCGTGTGTCCAAGGTCAACTACACATTATAAGATGGTAGTCGACGTCTTTTTCTCACCTCTTGGCTACTTCGGCGTGGCCTCCTGACTACTTTCCAACCTTCAAGTGGATATCAAGGGTCAACTTCGATGAAGAACGGTTCTTCAGCGTCGGCCTCCAGCATTAGCTACGTGGACTCCCTGTCATACCCTCCCACATACGGGAATGGTCTCAATGCTGCTGTAGTTATGTGTCACTTACGTCGACTTCATGAAGGATTCGTGGGATAATTGAGGCCGACCACGAAGGTAGGCGATGCTAGTTGTTGTAGGTGTGCAATAGTACGTGAAGATTCTGATGAAGAAAGGTGTGAGAAGTATGTTCTGATGTCTTGGTGGAAAATTGCCCGTTTTATAATGATCATTGACTCAATGCTGCTGTTTCCGATTGATTTCTTTTCTTACTTCGATTCCGTTCTGCGCGGTTCTTGGAGGCCGACGAAGCTAGTATTCATCAGGCCAATAACACCAATCAAACCGATGAATCGATCACCTAGCAGGTCAGGTATGCTTGGAAGTTGAGGCCGTGACTAGACCTGACCAACATAACTCACTTCGGGAGTGGATCCGAGAGAAGCCTGCCAGGTTCTGACCGTCGGTGAAATGTACCCAACTGATAGGAGCACGCATCTGAAAGAAGCCTGCGTCCAAGCCTGACATGGCCGAAATAGCAGCCATCTCATGCGATACGCCTTGAAATGAGGCTTGGGTATGTGCCATTGAATCACGCCTTGTCGGCCTCCGACTGAAGACCACGATACTGGTCGGTACCGTGCAGATGCCTCATCACGACCCTGGATGAAGGCTCAGCACGGTGGTTCGCCCGTTGTTACCTGCAAGAACCTCCAACACCAAACCCACCATGCCCGGAGCTCCAGCCAATTGCTTCTCGATGCAGGTCACCCTAAATCGTAGGGTGTGGCTCCTGGCCTCCTGCTTGTGAAGGGGCGTAGCTGCATGCCCAATGGCCCAATTTGCGACCGGCACGACGGCTCATTGGCCTGCGCAGTGAACCGACCTGAGCACTTGACCCGACCAACAACACGCTTTGGCGGAGTGCGCAATCGCGAGAAACAAGCAGTCCTTGTCGAAGACACGGATTCCCAATTCATTATTGCGGCCTTGCGAGCGACCTAAGTAACAATTAGAAATACGATCAAATAGGAGAGGTCATGGAGCAGACCCCCAACACCTCGTCAATCTCCTGGAATTTCCTCCACCATTTTTTCAGATTCATCACCCAAGCCCCATCACTTCTTTCTTGTAGGCCCCAGAAGTGAGCTCCAGTCCGATCTTGCAATGGCCAAACCTCGAGTAAAGTCCACAAGCCCTGGCAAGGAGGATAGGCAACCAAGTATGATCATAACCCATAAGTAAACCATTTGGAAACACAGCTCACTTTAACACTCAATAAGCAGTCATGACCTACGTTGATGGTCTTGGTACAATCAGCACCAAACTTCGCAACCGCCTCAGGCGATTCTACGACGCGCTTGTTCTCCTTTCCAGTCTAATCGAAGCCTGCAAGGTTAATGGCCAGAAGCGAGCTAATAGCGAAGGATATGAACCGAGTGATAACCCAAACGTTGTCCTCGAGTGCTTCATAAACAAGTTGGCGCAGGTTTGCGATAATGTGCCATTTGGAGACACAGTTACTGCCTTGGCAATCACCATTCGCAATTACGACGGCTTGCTTTACACTTTTGCCTCCAACAGGCAGACTGTGGGAGACCCCAATCAGGCCACAAACTTTGTCCGCCGACTGCTCAATGATATGGGCACCGCGACCTTAAATCAAGTCAAAGACGATCCTCACAGCCCATTGTTTCAAAGAGCGCTTCAACAGATTCTGGAGTTCCATGACAAACGAATTCTGGCGTATCGCGATAAGCTGATGAAATCTGTAGTGGCCTGTATCGCCGACTGCGATGCCAATGACTCTCCTGAAAGTAAGCATTCACCCTCAACCTCGCTGGACACCTGATCTCATGTGTCTTGTGGTACGCTAGGTCCCTCGCTTGGAAATGCTTTACGCGATTTGAAGGACACCCTAACTGCTCATAAAGGTCGAGACGGTGATAATTGCTCCGGTAGGGCCACTGTCACATTTTGTGCATCTGAAAGGTACTAATCTCTCTTTTCCGAAGTGACAGAGAATGGCAATCTTGTCCACGCTGCGGCCACTCTACGGGCTTCACCCGTGTATGATGACATTATTGAGAGAACCAGGGCAGGTAGAATGAATGAGTCTGAAAGATGGTGTGACCTCTCCCACTTTGTCGGGCGTCTCGCTTCATACTTAGGCATGGTCCGCGCCATCATCATCGCTCGCAGACGTATTCCAGAGCTATTCGAGAATTTCAACATCGTTTTCCTGCCGTCTAGCAATCCTTTGCCGAATCCAATCACATGTCTTCAACCTTCGACAATGACAGCTGCAAAGCGCCGAAGCCTCCGAACAGCCAAGGCGATTATCAGTCGCATGGTTTCCGAATCCGCAGAAATATCTAAGTACCAGGGGTACGCTGAGGAGCTCCAGCGCTGTGGCCTGGATGAGTTGATATCCAAGGAATGCACAAAAGAATCTTTTCACCCCATTGTTCATTGCGAGATTCTCGTTCTTGATTGGCTGTGTGGACAATACCCCACTGGAACTGCTTCTATCCCCTTTTTCCGGGACTTTCGATATATCGGCTGTAGCAAGCCAACGTGCCGTCTCTGCGAATACTACTTTGCTGCTCACAGAAGCGGCATACAAGTTCGCCGGGGACACAAGAACGTCTACCTGAACTGGGTTGTTCCCAACGTCACGGATGAAAGCCCGGAATGGGCCAAGGAGAAGGATAGTCTCATTGACAAAGTATTGGGAGGTGTCCGGCGGGATGCGCTCTCGGCTCTGGAGGAGAAGGTCACTGACCACAAGAGATGGGACTCAGACACCTTTTCATATCAGCAGACGTTCCAGTCTCTGGCTAGCACATCTGTTCGTGGCACCGACCTGGCTTCTGTGATGAGTCTCTTATCAATTGCTGAAGGAGGACCATCGTGCCGCCCTCAGAGATCAGTGATTGTCGATGATGATTCATGGAGCGTTGCAGGTCACGCGGACCAAGAGGCCGAGGACTCTGATGATGATGATGGTGGGGCTCTGCTTTTCTCCGGTAGACGCAGGTGATGTTTAAACTCAATTTGTTGATATGGGCACAATATGCGAAGCAACCTTCACCCAATTTTACTCCTGTCCACCCGGCTGCTTCTTGTGTGCTACAGCGAGTATTTCTCCTGGCTTCATATAGTCTATATTCATATCGTTGTCGCCGTTGTCGCTTTTCTCGTTCGTTTTCTTTCAAGTGATATCGCCTATCTCTGTCCCTAATAGTCTCGTCCTCAGTAGGCATAAGTCGGTACACAGAACATACGCCGTACAGACAGAAAACTTACGTAAACTTTCTTGAACACCCGGATTCCCTTTTATTCGCCTTCAATCTTTTTGACGGATGCTCCATACAAATGGAGCACGGCAATATTGCAGCTGCATCACGATGACGAGGGCATCCCCCGCGAATCAGAGCCTTCCCCGCAGCAGCTGATCGCCGATCTCCCGGTGACAGGTAGCCCTCACAGGGGCCTTGTTCGGGGGTTTTCAGGGGCAGTTCGTCCCGCTAGAGCAGATGAATACCACCATGCGGGGTAGCTACCCCAACAGGGTACGGAGCTCCCTCTCTCACTGATGCGTCATCGACGTCACTAGTCCGGAGCTTTCCCTCCAGCCCAGTCGATTTGCAGCTCATAGTGCAGCTGAAGTAGGCAGCCCAGCAGCTGGCCCCCTGTCCTTCAGCTGCTTCCGCTCGTCATTTTGACTTCAATTGCGTCTCCAAGACACGTGGGACAAGCCCAGATCTGCCTTGTTTTGCCTGCCGCTAACAATCCCGTGGGTAGCCAGCCACCAGGGGTAGATTGCAAGCTCGTCGCCTGGTCCATCCCTCAAAATCAGCTCTCTCCCTGCTTCTTCTGGCCCTCTCACACAGCTACGAACTTTCCGGTACTCTCTTCAGAATTAATTCCAAGCCTCTCGGCGTCCGAAAGCTGTCTTGTAACTAAACACCTACCAGTCTGCCAGTCATTTGCCTACCGCCAAGATGATGCCCGCAAGACCCCTCGCTCGCACGACACTCCCTAGAGCTACTCGTGCTCTTCGAGCTCCCCGTCAACAGCTTCGCTTCCAATCGACCACTACCTCGTCATCAGCGAGCGCAAGCGGAGGCAGCTCACACTTTGGAGCTGGCGTCGCCGGAGGACTCGCAGGCGCCGGTCTCTTCTACGCAATCTACTCATTCACCCCCGCCGGACGCACCGCATCCAAGGTCAACAAGGCCGCCAAGGAGGCAGAGAAGAAGTACCAGGTTGCCGCGAAGAAGCTGCAGGAGAACACGCCCTCGCCCGACCAAGCCATCGACTCCATCAAGGAGTTCGCCTACTCCTACGTCGGCTGGATCCCCGGCGGTCGCTCCTACGTCGACTCCGCGTTTGACGACTTTGAGACCGTCCGCAAGAACCACAAGGAGGAGGCCGACGAGATCATCAACGATGCCTACAAGCAGTTCCAGGAGGTCGCCAAGGCCGGTCTGAGTCTGGAGGCCGTTCACAAGGCGTACGAGGTTCTCGCCGACTTGTCCAAGAAGATTGCAAACCTGTCTGGCGATGCCATCTCCGACATCGTCGACAACCACCCCCAGCTGAAGGAGAAGCTGGGCGGCAACATTGACCAGCTCAAGCAGCTGGGCGACCAATACGGCCCTGAGGCGAAGAAGCAGGTCGACGAGACGTGGAAGCAGATCAAGGACGTCCTTGCGGGTGGCCTTACCGCTAGCAACTTCGAGAAAGCCCGCAAATTGATTGAGGACAAGATTCAGCAGGTCAAGAAGCTCGGAGACGAGGCTTGGAAGAAGGCACTCGAGGAGGCGAAGCCCTACCTCGACAAGAACCCCAAGGTCAAAGAGCTTCTGGAGAAGAACGCGGATGCATTGAAGCAGGGCAATGCGAAGGAGGTATTCGAGAAGGCCAAGTCTGCTGTCGACTCTGGCGACCTTGGTGGCTTGGAGAAGTATGTTGGCGACGCTGTGGATAAGGCCAAGTCTAAGGGCTCACAATTGGGCGGAAGCTTCGGTGGCCTGGATCAGTACTTCAAGATGATTCCTGACGGCGACCAGATTATTCCCAAATTGAAGCAATTGAGGGAGGTCGCGGACAAGCATAAGGAGGAGGGAGAGAAGTTGTTCAAGGAGACTCTGGAAGAGGTCAAGAAGGTCCTCGAGGCGAAGGGAAAGAAGGCGGAGGAGATCGCCAATAAGGCCAAGGAGGAGGCCAAGTGAGAGGCTGCATGATGCATCAGCCGTCTAGCCTTCGATCACTCTTGTAAAATAACCCTAAGCGTAGTGTAATTTTACCAAAAGAACTTCCATTTGTTAACCTGTCTCGCTTCACTCTAGAACACCTTGAACCCACCTGGGACGTTCTTTTGAAACAGGCCTTCAGGATCATACTTCTTGCTGACAGCCTGCAGCCTCGCTTTCACCTCTGGTCCGTAACTTCCGATCGGATCTTGCGTGATGTCTGCGTAATTGAGATATTGGAAAGGGATTAGAAGTCCGCGCTGTTGCAGCATGTCCTTGTGGGCGTCAATGATGCTCTGCATCCCTGCTTGCACCACATCATCGTCTTCCCGGTTCGTGTAAGCTGCTGTCAAAACCGACATCACCTCGTCCTTTGCCTCTGGTGTCAGCCCGAGCGAGTTGGTCCCGTTGGTCACTGGGTGGGGTTGGATGAGAAGGACGAGCTGAAGCCCCTCTATGTGTGCCAAAAGCTTGGTTCTTTCCTCCCAGGTTCTGAACATCTCCGAGTAAACGCTGAAGTCGCCGTTCTTGAAGGAGTAAACGATATCGATTGCGCTGCCCGAGTAAGCTCAAGCCACGCAACGTGGTGATCAATGTCAAGCTTACCGCGTGGTATTAGGCGGAAGAAGGCCGTTCGCCTCCGAAGTCATGGAACTAGCATTCCCAATCCGCAACGAACTCCCAACCTGCGGCTGAATCGCCGTGAGCGGCTGATACACTGGCGGATTCTCGACGGGCTTGACATAATACAGCGCATCGCCGACTGCGTAGTTGCCCTGGTCGAAGAGCAAGGACATGCCCATATCAGCGGCATCGTCAAAGTTCTCCGCACTCATGAAGTTACTGAACGCCTGTGCATGCGCCTCCAGGACCTCGTTCGTGTACTCAAAGGCCACGGTGCCGCCCCACATATCGCCCATCGGGAAGGTTGGGACGTCGATGCGGGTGACGATGCCGAAGTTGTTGGAGCCGCCTTTCAGCGCGAGCCAGAGGTCCGCGTGGGAGGACGCCGTGGCTTCAACGATGGCGCCGCTGGCGAGGACGATTTGGTAGGTGTGGATATTGTCGCAGACCCAGCCGTGGCGGCGGGCGAGGTAGTGGATGCCTCCTGGGAACGAAGCTTAGCACCGGTTCATCTGTCGTAAGAATCATAATAGTGGTTAGCTTACCACCTGTAGCAAGACCTCCGACACCAATGCCGGTTACTCTCCCGCCCATGACGGTCAGATTGTGAGGGACGAGTTGTGGGTAGCTCCAGATACCACCGACCCCTAACGACGCTACAGTTTTGTCCTCGTTCAATACGAGAGAGTTCAGCTTGCGCAGGTCAACGGTGATGCCTTGGTCGATGTTGGCTGAGCCGGGCCAGATCATGTGCCCCCCGCTCCGGAGGGCGAATTGAGGGGGTGCCCGGGAACATAATGCGTCTTTCCTAGTGATGAGCTTGATGAACTGAGAGACTTCGTGGGCGGTCTCGGGTTGGAAGATGCATCCCGGCCGGATGTCGCGTTCCTGGCCGGAGTAGTATGACGATATCGATTCGTTGTAGGATGGCGTCTCTGGGTATGCTACGCGGTTGGGTATGAGGGATTCGAGGAGCTGGCAGGAGGCATTTGCATCTTGTAATGCAGAGGTAAAAGCTGTCAGGATAATCAGCAAGATGAGGTAAGTTATGGCAGGATGACTTTGAGGCATGGTGATTATTCTTAAGACATGAGATAACACCCATCAAGTCTGGTTTTGGTGACAGGGGAGCTGATTGTAATATCTTTCTTGCTTCCGCACAAGGATGACGAGGCGTCGGTGCAACTGCGGCCATTCTTGCGCAACAGCACCGAGATTTCGGGGTAATGCACGATGTTCACGCGGGGTTGACAAGGAAGCTTAGTCTTGGGCATTTAAGGCGGAGGAGATCTTTGCTTGTATGGGAAGGTAAGCCTTGGGGGATAGGGTTACACGACATGGAAGGATCGAGGCGACTCTGCACGACGTCTCACTGAAGGAATCCAATTACGAACCCGCTTAATTTTGAAGGTAAGCGGCTGGCAACGGCGTCTTGGTTGATCGATTGAGATTCCGACGTCTAAGCCAACCTGGCTCTGAAGGTCAGGAATGGCCATGATCTTTCCTTCGACAGCTCCATTGAGGTTAAGCAAAGTACATAGGTAACTGTTGATGGCTGAAGCTTGCTGCTTCTCTGCCCGCTTATGAGTTCCTTTTCCTCCTACTGTGTCTCTTTGACTCGTTTGATCCAAAAACACCTTCGAGGTTTCAAGTGCAATGGATTTGAGGTCATGGGTAGATACTTATGGTATGACTATGAACGCTCTTTCGCTCCGCTACACCTAGCTAACTCATGCGGCGAATAGCCTCCACGATGAGGTTCGCAAGCTCCTTGGTACGAGACAACTGCGCCATATGCCCTGCATCGAGTCGATAAATCTTTGCCTCCGCACCAGCCGCGACCGTCTCCTGCATCTGCATGGGAATGATCTGGTCTCGTTCGCAAATGATGTAGTCCACAGGCACGTCATGCCACCCGGCGTACTCGATCTTCGTGCCCCATCCATGCGCCGGATGATGCACAAACTCGTCGATCCACGGCTTGGCAGCCTCGGCGGACATGTCGTTGAAGAACGCCATATCATCAACAGGGCCCTGGGTTCCCTTCTCTTCCTTTTCAGGAGTCAGCCACTGCCACCAGAGAACAAGGTAGCTCATCTCACATCGATCTTCATAAACGGCAACGGCCGATGCTCAAATCCAACTGGCAGAAAGGCGGCCGTGATCCCGACGATTTGTCGAATTCCACCCCTCTTTGCTTCGTCTTCGTAGGCTGACTGGGTCAGGCCCTTCATGGCGCCAGCTCCGATGAAGCCGCCAGCAGAATGCAGGACCAGAATCACGCCATCACTTCCGCATCTGTCCACGAACGGTTCGAGCTCGGTTCGGATACCCTGCGTGTCATCGGCAATGGTGAGCCCGCGAGGCTCCCGTTTTGAAGACGTGCCACCGCTGATGATGGTGCCCACATGGATTGAGGGGTACCCGGCTTTCTTGAGTTCGTCGACAAGCGGCCCGAAGGTGGCGATGCTTTCATATAGGCCCGGCACGATGAAGATTCCTGGCGCCATGGTGATCGTTGGGATGGGGGACGATGAGTGATGGTATCAAATATCGACCGCAGAGAAGTCGACGTTCGAAAACATAGATTTTATGTGTGACGATCATGCGCTCAATGGTTCTAGTGCTGACTTAAGGGACGACCAGGCAACTGCCACTAGGAGAGGTGGCGTCGAGAGACGCGTTCTGGAGTAGCCTCTTTGAGAAATTGTCTTGCAGCTGCTGCCACATTCTCCATAGAATCCAAGACACTGTCTCACTAGCTTACATGCGATGAGCCACTCGGCTGAGGCAATATCTTATTTCTTGTCACCTTCCCATCAACCTCTCAACGGCAATTATCACGAGTAAGTAATCGTACCGGTCGTTGTCTCGAAATGTTCGCGATGCACAATTGGCAGAATGCATTGATACGGCTGTAAGAGGCTCAGCTGCTCTAACAACAGATTTCGTGGTGTACCCTTTGAGTCGGCGTTGGTGTCCTGGCCAACCTGCTGCGACGACCTAGATCAAAAATTCTCAGACGCTTCGAACAGTAAAGTAATCACAGAATTACTTCGTCAAAATGGAGCCGAATAACGATACCTAAAGTTGTAATGCCAGACTATCCTCTACAAACCGGCACGGAAGTTCCCCTGTTTGTAGTTCGTCGCCCCCGTCTTGACCGCCAGACGTCTCTCTAAATCGCCCAGGCAGTGATGGATGCTTTCGTTGATATCGAACTCCCATATGTCCTTTGCCTTTGTCCGCACCTCATTTTCTATAGCTTTGAAGTCTTTTCCAGCCTCGGTCTGGCCCTCGTATAGCTCCCCAATCCGCCGGCTTCCCTCCACAAGTCGATGTCCTCTATCCCGACGACATTGATCATATGCTGCAAACGCTGCCGAGATGTCATCCCGACCTTCAACTCGGTCATCAGCCAACAAAGACGCCAGAGTAGCAGCATCCTCGATGCACAGTCCGGCTCCAGCGCCCTGATGAGGTGTGCTCGCGTGGGCAGCATCGCCGATGAGACAGATGCGCCCTCTGGAAAAGGTCGGAACGGGGTGGTCCCCGAGGTCGAATAATCCCCACTAGCTCTTGTCAGCTTTGGTGTCTTGAATATTTCTAAAAGATCATGGAATATGGACTGCACTCACCCTGTCAACGGATTTCATTCTCTTCACTAATTGTCGCAGCCTGGGGGATAGGCCCTCGGAATCGGCGTAACAGCCTTCCTCCCCGACTGGCAGAACAAAATTCGTGCTACTGGGCCAGTCTCCATCGCTTGTGCAATGCATCACTATATTCAGGATGGTACCGTTTGCTACCGGGTAGGTAACTATATGCCGCTTATTGGCAGACTGGGCGATTCGGTTAGGAAGATCACGTCATAGGAAGATCTAGGATCACTTACCCACAGGTTCGAACCCATTGCCCGTTCTTTTCCAATTACTTCCAGAGCCTCGTCCATTGGGATCAAGCCACGATAGCAGTGCTTGTGCGTGAATCCGCACGTCGCAGACGGATGGTCGCTCCCCACGACGATTTCGCGGGTACGAGACTTGATTCCGTCGCATCCGACAATGGCGTCTGCTTCGGCAGTAGAACCATCCTGGAACACCATTCTCAGTTTTCCTGAAGGACCGTATGGCTCTTCAACACGGTCTAGCTGCTTGTTGAACTTGGCCACGTCTTTTGGAAGGTGTTGAATCATTCCGTCCAAGAAATGAGCCCTGTGACAGCCCCTGATGCCGGCTTCTGCGTCTCCAAGGGTGAAGATGGGCTCATCGTCTTTCTTCTCATCTGAGCCGTCAAAGAAGGTCCAAAGAATGTCTGGTTGGGCGACCCTGTCAAAAACCTGGTATATGACTGGGTCGCAAGCCTTCATGGCTCTGGTGGCATTCGGGGTGATGCCCAATCCTGCACCAATTTCGCCGAAGGCATGCGCTTTTTCGTATATGGTGCAAGGGACGTTGCGCTTGACGAGCGAAATGGCCAGAGCTACTCCGGCTATTCCGCCGCCGATAATGGCGATTTCGAAGTCTTTCTTGATGGGCGCCATGTTGGTCTGGTAGTGTGAAGGAACAGGACGTCTACTCGAGTACCGTACAATGAAGTGAGGGGAAATTCATTGTTGTCATCTTGTTGGGTATTTATTTTGTCTGATGATAAGGTTCTGCCGGATGTGACATTAAGCGTAATAAGTCCTCGGTACATGAGGTTGAGTTTCCGTAACGCAACTCGTGTACCTCTACCACGCGAAAGACGAGCTTGCCACTCCAACAACAATCATTTGCGTTATTGATCATGCTTCATAGTATCCAAAGCCGTAATTAGAAGTTTGGCTTAGTCCTCTCACTGCCAGTATGCAGGCTTTCGGACGTCAAAATGCGACTCGCCCATCTCGCGTCGCGAATAGTCCGAGCAAATCATCTTTAGCATGTACACTCAATGCCAATCACAATGCAGTGCGTTTTTACCAGGATAAGAGCTTTTGTTAGCTTTATCATCTACGCGTCAAAGCTCTTGCGTCGGACTCAATCTCCGTCTTCAGCCGGTGACGTAGGAACTTTGAATCAACATGAGATGAAGTACATGCCCACATACCCCGCGTCGGGCCCCGAACACTGGGAAGCGTTCGCGTTTTCGCGGGAATTCCGGCACGAGTGTGCGACTGCCAAAGTGAGGAACTTCATTTGACGGGCTGTTACGGTTGAGAATTCAAAATACTATGCGTGGTTCAAAAGCTCAGCTACGTGTACCAATCATTCAGGATTTCTGGCCGTCGATAAACGCGTGTACATTACAACTTCCAAGATTTTGAAGATGACTCTTTGTACCAGCTACCGCAAGTTACCCCTCTCAGAGCGTAAACAAATTTGTGTCCCTTCCCTCTGCCTTCAGCTTCTTGTTCGCTCTAGTCAGCATGACCTTCATGATAGCGCAAGTAACGATACTCAGCGCCGACGAGGCCATCATCAGCAGGTTTGCCATGACATATCTCGGACTATCTGTCGACGGAAAGAAGTAGGGGCTCCAGATGTTGCCAAGCTGACTGAGCAGGTTGATAATCGCTGTCGCACACGCCCTCTTCTCAGGTGTCTGGTTCAGGGTGGAGCTAGCCCAGCTGAACACCATTGCGTTACTCGAGAAGCAACCGCAGATGTATAGGAAAGCAGCAACGTAGCGAGCGGCGTTGTTGATGGTCGATACTGAAATGATGAAGCCGATGCATGCGACCCCCTGAGGTACTGAGATATGGAAGCCCCGCTCCTTACGACGATCGGAAGAGAATGCCGTTAGGAAGGCAACGACCGTCGCGAGAAGATAGGGCGGCGCGGTCAAGATCAGGGTCAGCGTGTTGTTGCCGAGCTTGAAGCCCTTCACAATCGTGGGGAAGAAGTTGTTGAATCCGTAGGCGCTGTGATTGGCAGTGAGCATGACCACCTGCGACATGAATGTTAATCTCAAGTTTCCTTCCATAGAGAGCACAGATAGGCAACAACTTACGAAGACCCATGTTCGAGCATCCTTGACAGCGAGCTTGAGTCCATTCCAAACGCTGGAATCTGCTTCCGGCAACGAGACTCTGTCCCTTCGGATACGCTCAACCGCAACCTTTTGCTCCTTGTCGGTGAGCAACCACTTCGCAACGCCCGACTTCTGGCCCGGGAAATCCGGGAGCAGCATAGCCCCGAGGATGGCCGCGGCGAAACTGCCTGCACCCTCAATGATGAAGAGCCACTGCCATCCGGCGATACCGCGAGCTCCCTCAAGACCTGAGAGGACGCCGGCTGCAATGAGTCCTGAGAATGCCGTCGCAAGGAGAACGCCAGAGTATAGAATAGCGGTGCGGAATGCAAGCTCCTTTCGAGGATACCAACAACTCAGAAGGTACATGGCACCCTGGCCGAACATCAGCGGTAGTCAAAAAGGAAGCATGTGCCAGGACCAACCGGAAAGAAAGGAGCCTCCGCAATTCCCAAGAAGAATCGAATAACGAGAAGGTGTGTATAGTTCTCTGCTCCTGCTGTAGCAGCGGAAACAACAGACCAGAGAGCTGTCCATGCGGGAATGTAGAGAGACGGTCGGGTGCGGGTGAGGAGCATGTTACTTTGCCATTGTTAGCATTGATGATGGTAGAGAGTTTGCAGAGAAGGCTGCCTGCCTTGGTAGCTGCATAAGCATGTAACCAATATTCAAGATGGATACAGCAACGTTGAACTGGTTGCCAGTAAGCCCAAGATCCTTCTCAAAGGTGCTCAGTCGCGCTTGACTAAGACAAAGTGACGATCAGCATAACAACCCTTGAGGATAACAACTCCTGACTGTTTACTTACGCAATGTTGTTCCTGTCGAGATAGTTGAAGAGATAGAGAATCCAAACAACCGGTACCAATGTGAAGTCAAGCTTCCTCGTAAGACTCTTCTCGACGGCGGCATACTCTTCCTCGGACATCCCCAGATCATCGCCATTGACGTCTTTCTCAGACACGAAGTCCTTTTCGCCACCGGGAAGCGTGCTGTCGATGTGGTCTGAGGTGGCCTGCATGGCTTCTTGCTTTGTCTCGGCTTCGCGGGCGGCCATCTTGCTCGCCTGTTGGATTTTCGACAAAAGGTGTGCTGAGAAGCTCTCGAACCTTGCATCTTCGGACTTGGAGATATAAGAATCGACGGCTCGACTATTTGAACCACCAAAGACTTGAGGTTCGGCAGTAAAGTCTCTGAAGTCGATGAAGAGAAAGTCTCCAGGCCCGGGGAAAACAACTTTGGAAACCAACCGTCGTCTGTCTTCTTTTAAACTTCATGTCAGAAAGACACGCCAGTCACCCTTGACTTGATGTCTTTTGTTGCCCAGACTTGGGCCTAGCCCAGGACGACCTTGCAGAAGCCAAACAACAGGATGTTCACCCCAACTTCCTACCCCGCATACCCCGAAACGACCCCAGATTCTGGCGTGTCCCACAGACACCCAGCTCTCTGGCTGTGGAATATGGCACCTGTAAGCTTATTGCGTTCGTCTCCTCTTCCCCAGACCCGCAATCGAAAGATGAATTAGCCGTCATGTTCTTGGATGACGGAGCAGTCCTGCTGTACCGGAGAAGCGCGATGGACTGCTCCGTCTTTTCGGGCCAGTCCAGCCACTCAAAATCACCATCCAGACCCGTTAGACTGAAGCCAAGGCCAAGATTCCAGTGTTCACGGAGCTACCCGCGAGTCAGCGGAGAAGACCGTGACCAGGAGTAGTCCGTGAATAGGAGGAGGGGTTTTTCCGTGAGGCTACTCTAGGAAATGTGAGGCACTCATGATGTCGGGAGCCACGCGCACGTGGTTACGACGACCGACCCAATTGTGTTCACCGGTGATCCGGCTGCTTCCAGACACCAATAGTAATGACCACAAGTTCCCTACCCCGTCATATGGTCTGCTTGCTCCGGAACTATGGGGCACGAGACGGAAGATTGCCGGGGCTGACTGGGCGTGGATTGATTACGATTCCGAAAGTCCTGATTTGCAGATATCGCCAGCCCATTGACGAGAGATTTCCACTCTGGCAGATTTTGTTGACTTGAGATGACCAATGAAGAGACTCCAGAAAAGGTCAGTAAAGGAAGTAGACCAGAAGCTTGATGTGCTGCATAGTAGGTAGGATATAGAACACAAAAGAGAACATGACCAGAACGCAGCGTGGGGAGAGGAACACACATCGATCGAGGATTCAGAATGTGTCTGATGCAAAAGCGCTTATGTTGATTCTCTACCAAAATATGCAGTTGATGTATCATGCCCAAAACGCCGCCTTTAGATGATGTTTACAAAAGCTGTACCACTACAGCATCATGCGCTCTGTCCAAGGGCAACTCGCTTGATGTAGTTTAGTGCACTGCCAGCCCGTAGCCACTCGATCTGATTCAGCTCATACGAGTGATTCAGCCTTGCCTTCCACCTCGACCCTTCCTTCGTGACAACCTCCATCGTGACCTGTTTCCCGGGTTGCAACTCCCCCTCCTCAACATCTAATAGAGTGATCTTATCACCATCCCTGACCTTGTCGTAGTCGGCAGGGTCCGCGAAAGTCAGAGGGAGCATTCCTTGCTTCTTCAGATTCGTCTCGTGAATTCTGGCAAAGCCCCTTGTGATCACGGCAACGCCACCCAGGAACCGGGGCTCTAGCGCAGCGTGCTCGCGGGAGCTACCCTCGCCGTAGTTGTTGTCGCCAATAATGCACCACCTGATACCCGCCTTCTTCAGGCTCCGCGCTGCTTGGGGTACGGGCTTGATCTTGTCGCCATCGACGGGGTCCTTGGCCTTGCCAATCATCTGGAGGGTGCTTGCATCTGGTAGGAAGTCGTTTGTGGCGCCGAGGAGGAGGTTGTTGCTGATGTTCTCGAGGTGGCCGCGGTAGTTGTACCAAGGACCTGCTGGGGAGATGTGGTCTGTTGTACACTTGCCACGGACCTTGATGAGAACAGTCAGGTTACTCGCGTTTCCTGGCTGCCACGGCTCAAACGGTGTTAGAAGTTGTAGTCGGTCACTCTTAGGATCGATGTTGACAGTCAGGGCCGAGGTGTCGGACATCACTGGCGGTTGGAATCGATCGGCACCAGGGGAGAAGGCGACGGGAAGCTCTTCCGCTTTTGGAGGTGTGAATCGGAACGGCATTGTCGCTCCGGGGACAGAGATGGCGTCGGTGATGGGGTTGAAGGTCAAGTTGCCTGCGAAAGCGAGAGCTGTCGCCAGTTCTGGGGATGTGACAAAAGAGTGGGTTGCAGGGTTGCTATCGTGTCGGCCAGTGAAATTTCTGTTGAAGCTGGAGATGACGGAGTTCTTTTCAGCCCCCTTGACATCGACATCTTTCCTGTCCCATTGACCGACACAAGGCCCACAAGAGTTGCTCAAGACAGTAGCACCAGCTTGTCGTAGCGTCTCAAGAATACCCTCCTCTTCAGCTGTCGCTCGGATCTGTTCGCTCCCTGGGCTGACCAAGAATGGTGTCTTTGGACGATCCAGCCCAGCCTTCTTCGCCTGTATCACAAGGTCGCGGACCTTTTCGAGATCCTCGTACGAGCTGTTGGTGCAGCTCCCCACGAGGCTGCAGCTCAGATTCGTAGGCCAAGAGCTTTCGCTAACATGGTCTTTGAACTGGGAGAGGGGGTGGGCGAGGTCGGGAGTGAAAGGGCCGTTGATGTGGGGTTCGAGGGTCGATAGGTCGATTTCGATGATGTCGTCGTAGTGTCGGTCGCTGCCTTCGTCGGCAATAAGAAGCTCTTGTTTGAAGGAGTCGGCGTACTTGGCGATGCCCATCCGTTTTGTCGCCGAAAGATATCGTGACATGGCTTCCGAGTATGGGAATATGCAGGACGTCGACCCGATTTCTGCGGACATGTTGCAGACTGTAGCCATCGCAGTCGCTCCGAGGGTTTCGGTGCCGGGGCCAAAGAACTCGATGATCTTGCCTTTACCCCCAGAAACCGTGAGGATACCCGCAAGCTTGCAGATGATGTCTTTCGAGGAGCTCCATCCCTGGAGCTTGCCCGTCAGACGCACGCCGACCACCTTTGGACACGCGAGTTCCCAAGGCATGCCGGACATTGCATCAACCGCATCGGCGCCGCCAACGCCAATTCCCAGCATACCCATGCCACCCGCGTTCGGTGTGTGAGAATCCGTACCAATCATCAGACCACCAGGGAAAGCGTAGTTCTCAAAGATGGTTGTGTGAATGATACCGGCGCCCGGTTTCCAATATCCTATCCCGTATTTCTTCGTCGCGGAACTCAGGAAGGCATACACCTCCCGGTGGTCGCTGGCAGCTCTTGACAAATCCTCCTTGTCTCCCTTTTCGGCCACGATCAAGTGGTCGCTGTGAACCGAAGTTGGGACTCTGACTCGCGGCAGACCAGCGCTTATGAATTGGAGCAACGCCATGGTCGCCGTCGCGTCATGACAGGCAACTCGATCCGGTCGCAGACGCAGTATCGTTTTGCCTCTCTTTATCTCGTCGAGGACCCATCCTTCTTCGCCGGGTATCAAGTGGCTGTAAAGAACCTTTTCAGACAGTGTCAGGGGTCGTTTGTTGGATTTTTGGACGTCGCGGAGGGCTTGTAGCCGAAGGGCGTAGTCTAGAGTGTTGTACTAGAAACAAGTCAGAAAATCTTCCAATCGTTTGAAGCATTCAAGAACAACTTACCGGCTCTAGAGGACTCAAAGCTACTTGCCCTGATGGAGTTGCGAAATGTCTTGTCCGCGCAGCACGAGACCCCTGTCGGAGTGACGAGCATGCTTTCGACCGGGCCTCCCTCAACAGCGTGAACGACATGATTGCAACATCTGCACCAGCAAATCAACCCGCCAAGAGCGGGGGAATACTGCCATCTTTTTCACTTGTGATCTGGTGCGCAAAGATGTTCAAATCTTCATGTTTCGCGACGCCAATTCTCGAAGAGCTACGATTTGCTGGACAGCTCCGTCTTCAAGGCCATTTTGGGCAAAGACGGAGTAGTCCAGGTCTTGTGCAGGGATCTGCTAGCGGGCTACTCCGTCCACCACCAAAAACAATAGTCTAGCCGGAGTAGTCCGCTTCCACGCTCTAGAGCCACAGCAACTGAGACTGCTGATTCCACTAAAATAGGATTCTCCTGGATGGCTGGAACACTTCGGCAAAATGCTGACGGAGAACGGCATAATCAGTAGCTTGGGTTGGGAAAGTTGCCCATCTCATACGGGTCGCCGATGCCGGCTAATGGAAAGCTCCAGCTGAATTCTGACTTGTCGAAGTCGGCCAGGAAAGTCTCGATTTCCGGAACGTAATCGTTGGATCCTCCATGGAAGGGTGGCTCGGGGTAGACGCCTTGCCAGTGCACTGCGTCTTGAGAGTGCGCCATGGCCACAGCGGACGAGCCCGGCATCTGGTGCCAAGCAGCGTCGGTTCCGTTGAGCGGGATGTGGGCGAGATCTGCCTGCTGGGCCGTTGCGTCATAGACGGAATGCCCTCCGTCAGCGTGGTCTAGGGCGTTTTGGCCATCCTCGAGCCGGTCTGCACCAAGTGGCATGTACAGCCGAGGGTTCTTTGAGGGCATATTTCCGGTGTAGAGCTTTCGGATAGTGAGGTCAACAATTGCGCCGAAACTTCGTTGTCCCTTTTTTACGGATGGCCACCACTCGCCGCCGACTGTGAGCAGGCTTGAGCATGTGCGAAGGCTCTTCGATAAGTCCGCCGTTGAAGCGTTTTGACGAACCGTAGAACACGTCCAGAACGAGTATATGAGGGTAGCTCCAGCGGCGAAAATGTTTTGTACTGTGCGCCATCCGTGATGTAACCCTTGCATGTCGTGCAGTGCCTGATACTCGTGAAGTATTGATGCGGCGTTGTTGAAGCAGACCTGCAGTGACTCTGGAGAGGGATTGCGGATCGCCTGCGAAGGTTGGAATAGCATGACCATAGTTGTGTGGTACTTGACCTTCAATTTGATCTGCCACATCCGGCGTTGTCTGCTGTCGATTCCCGGGAAATCAAACGTCTCGCTAGAAACCCGATCCCACCAGTCCACGAGCTCTTCTTTTATTCTTGCTTGTTGAGCTGGCGGA